TAAAGCAAAGTTACCAGTGTTAGAAGAAACTTTAGTTATTCTGTTAGTTTCCACTTTAATAAGCTCAAAAGGAGAGACAATCATAATTGTTACCACTCAATGGGTGGGAGTCACAAGAAAGCAAAAAATATAGTGACTATTCCCTGTCAGCTTCTGTCTACTTGTGACAATCATGACAAACTCACATTTTCTTACCATCACCCCTCCATTGCATCAATTCTTACTCTTCAAGGATTACAATAACACTTGTCAATGTAATTATCTCAAGAGAAAGTACCCAGTGGTTTTGTTAAATTCTAACTTTCGGATGTGCTACCTCACAGCATTATTGGGAATGAACTATCCCTAATTTTCTATATCCTATTTGAGTGGCTGCAATCTCCAGAAAAGACAATCCCCTTTGCACAGGGCAGCTAGATACCAGGTGGCCTTGTTTTATGAAGGAAACACCCGCAATTGATTCCCCCTTGGTCAAAAGCAGTGTCAGGATTAATCAATGGATAGGCAGGAACTTGGCAAATAGCTAAGTGAATTTACATAATTCTAAGTAATCTAAATAAAAGTATTGCAAAAGAATAGTGGAAAATTATGGTGTGAGAGTAATACAATCAAGGATACTGGGCGCCGTTGTTCCCTTTAGTCTTTCCATTCAGCAATGGGAAATAAAGGATGAAAGATGAGAGTTCTATAGTTACTGTAATGTCAGAGGAGTATGAGACTACCAGAGGCAGTGATCAATGTCATTTTACACAGCACAAAAAGCCACAGAGTCACTCTCTGGTAACACAGATGAGTTTGTAACCAGGTAGGATGAAAGGATGACATATATCTTATAAATTCATCCATCTGTTTTTCTCATCAAACAATATATAGCTTTTATTATAGTACCAGGACAGCCTGAATTTTCAATTTATCTTAAAAGGGAAAAGATATAAATATCCAGAAGAAGCAAAATGAAATTTGCAAATATGGTATGCAGGTTGGCATATAACTGGAAATACAAAGTCATACTGGTCATGCCAAAAAAACAAAAAATATGAATATGGTTTTTGGGTCCTGGTCACATTGACTCCTTTTATGTCCGTATCCTCTGGATCAATATTGGACATTGAGAGGAAACTCTTCCTTCTTCTAAAGTAGAACTACCCAGTAGCTCATATTTCCACCTCATTTTTTTCTGTCTGTAGCAAACTAAAAATGGCCATAAAGGTGCTGGCACTATGGTACAGTGGATTAAGCTGCTGTTTGAGATGGAAGCATGCCATAACACAGTACCAGTTTGATTCCTGGTTGCTCTCCTTCTGATCCAGCTTCCTGCCACTGTGCCTGGGAAAGAAGTGAAAGATGGCCCAAGTATCTGAGACACCCAGGTGGGAGACCAGGATGGAGTTCCTAGCTCTTGGCTTCGGCATAGCCCAGATCAACCTGTTGTGGACATTTGGGGAGTGAACCAACCCTTGGAGACCTCTTAGTCTTTCCTTCACCCTCGTCACTCTGTTTTTCAAATAAATAAACCAATACTTTTTAAATGATCATAAATTCCTTGGTATTATATCCATTAACATGGGCAGCTATGCCCCTCTCCTTACATCTGGGCAGCCTTTGTGACTGTTTTGCTTAACAGTATGCTATGGAAATTTTGGAATCCTGGGAGCTGAAATAGACAAACAAAAAAGTTAAAGAGGTCCTAGGGAAAGATGAGACCACTTGGTAGGAGAGAGGAGATGGCCAGGTGCAGCTTTCAGCCATTCCTATTAAAAAAAAAAAAACAGCAGGCAGCTGATTACTACCAGATAGCTCTGGTTTGAAGTCACTGAGTTTGGGTGCACTTGACTTCACAGTAACAGATAACCTCAACCTCTTCCTAAAACAAGAGAGGTGACTTTGATCTGTTGGCAAAATCAGGCCTGCCGTTTGCTTCTGTGAAGTTTGGAACATGATCCCACACATCCGTTTGCATACCATCTTTGCTGCTTCCTGCTCCTGCAGTAGAGCTGAGCAGTTTGGCAAAGGAGGTCCTATGGCTGAGAGAGCTCAAAGCATTCACCTTCTGGCCTTTTCCTTTGGAAGTTGACTGACAGCTCTACCAAAAACCGCCTTGCCAACAGGAAACTCATGACAAGCTGCCCAGATGATGATATCACAACTAACCTATTGCTGTCCACTGGCTGAAGCCCTGCCAGTGTAGGACAGACAGTCTGGCTACAGCATATGCCCTTTGTAGAGCTGGTTCCCCATCCTTCAGCCACAGTGCCCTAAATTGTAAAATGAGAAGATTGGTTGGGATCAGTGTTTCCCTGCTCAAGTGTTCCATGAAACACTATACAAAAAATGCTCTGCAGAAAAGCAGAGAAGCAGCACTGCATGCACTATTTTAGCGGAGATGGAAAATGTCTACCAGCACCTTCAGAATTCTGCAAGAAAGAAAGCAGATCACCCTGTTGCTATTGTGCTTACTTTGGGTGGCAAGTCTTTTCACTCTGTTCACATCAAAGGGGACTCTTATTGCAAAGAACATACTTCAGGAAACACCAGTGAGGATCACCTGAACGTCTGTTTTAACTTCAACTGTTCCTAAATTTAGGGTGAAGTGTCTAGGGTGCAGAGTTAACTGTTTCAGTGTCTCTGTATATTTCCTTTTCCAGAAATCACTGCCTTCACTTTTTCACCAAGTGAGGCACTGCCAGTACAATCCGCTCACTTTTCAGATGAGAGTCGCAGTGGCCAATTAAGAAAGCTGCAAATTCATCCAAAGGAACTAAAATGACACAGTAAGCACCAATCTTTGGATGACAATTATAATTATAGTCTTGAAGTAAAGCAAGGACAAATGTGGACTTGTTTTATAGTTACTACTGGTTTTTATAATCTGGAGATTTCTTTACATGTGCCAAAACAGTGTAAAATTCATTCTTAACATTACAAAGACTATATGTGCAATAGCAAATGAACATGTTAATTATGTACATGGTTGAGTACAAAGTAACCTTACTTGTTCAAACTGTTGGTTTAAATGTCTGGATTATCTGATCAATTTTATATGACAAGAGGTATGTATCATGCTGAGGCACTGACAGGGAAATGCTGCCTTCCTAGGAGTTGCTCCTTCACATGGAGCTGCTGGAGATTCCTGACCTAGGGAGAGGTCCCAGGCAGGTGATAGTAAGACTGCCTGGAGCTGTATGCATATGTTTCCTGAGTTCCTATAACTTCAAACTCAGTAAGTTGGACTAGATGTAAAATAACTCAAGGATTAACCCTCCAATCAACTAAAAGACCTCAATTGTAATAGGACATAAGTATTTTTCCTACTAATTATTAGGAATAACTTTTAATATACTCATTATCATAAACAAAGCAAAAGGTCTTGTCTCCAAGAAATCTCAGGCACATGTAATTTCTTCCAGATTTCTGCTTCCCAGAAGACTCAAGCCATATAGCTATCTTTACAATATTGCATTAAAATTGTCAACTAGCCTTGTTTCTGACTTTGAGAGCTACACAGGAAAGACTATTGTCTCTCCGCTGGGAAGCATTGCAGGGTTATGGGCTGAGAAATACATTCTTTCCTATTCCCTCGGTGCTTAAATCATACATTCTGCTGTGTAAGCGGATTTTGTTGATAGTGTGACGTGAAACTTCTTAATGTATCAGATAGCTACCAAAGCTATCTGAAGAACAGATAGCCAGGGATGTGTATGCTATAGGTAGATGAAGTTGTAAGAGGCAGAAATTAGCTTTGGAGCTGGACAGATTCAGATCTAACACTGATTGTTTCATGGGATCTAAAGGACATCATTTAGTCATTCTGTTTTCAGCTGCCTTGCCTAAAAATGGGAGATATATCATGGCTATCTTACTAGGAAACTGGGAAGACTGGAGAAAAATCTATCCCAAAGCATCTGACACACTGATTCTTCAAAAGCTTATTACTTGTATCGTCAGTGTATCCTCTTATTCATTTGCTCTTTCTACAGATATAAATAAAGGGCCTGTTATGTTAGGGACCTGAGATGCAGTTGAGAACCACACAGGCAAGTCCTTACAGAATTTCATCAATTAGACACAGAGTAGAGCACAGCCCCTCTGATAATCAGAGAAACCATTCAGCAGTGCTTCTCGGTGCAGGCACTGCTCTAAGAGCTTGGCCACATAGTCCCACATTGAATCCTCACCCCAAGTCCATGTGGGGGGATCTGCTCCATGATCCTAGAACTGGTTATTGTAGCTTGGCTCCAGACATGTAAATCCAAAGCCTGCAGTGTTTCTCTAAACATTAGAGTTTATACTTCCCCAGAGCATAAACGATCTTTACACAAGAGTATCAAAAAGTCCAGAGAATCAGTTGATTAAGACAGTAATTCCTCTACAGAGATATAGGCACCAAGCAGGTGCAGATGCTGACTGGTCTCTGGAGACTCTACAGTAGCAGTCACCATCCTGTAGTCTCAACCAGCCATTGCTTGCTTTTAACCCAGCAGTTGTTTTCTGGCAATGGCACTAGAGAGAAAAGTCACTTCAGCCAAGTTTCCCCTCTCTTTCAACCTTGATCCTTTCATACACTAACCCACAATGCACCTATAGTTCCAACCCAATCAATTCTCAGCCTTCAGCATCAGAATGTTCTATGATTGTTGGAACTTTCTGGCAGACATGTTAAAGCAAAGCAGAAGCGACAATGTTTTATTTTGTTCATTTATTCTCTTCATGTGCCATGTGACTGGATACTTGATGCCAAGTAGTCTGTTGAGTGCTCACAAGGTAATCAAGCAAGTAGGAAAGAGTGCAGACCTAAGTTCATTTCTTATCACAAGGCAGGCAGAATTCATTTCTGGGTACATCCCATGTGGCAGCAGCAACTTATTCTAAGAAGCCCTTAAGATTTATGACATCAAGCCCTCATCATCAAATGCTAGAGGAGAAATGACAGTGTAACTACTATAAAAAATTTCTCTTCTAATTAGTCAAAAACTATTAAGACAAAAGATGATTATACTTACAGGAGGGCATTGTGCAAGTTTATCAGCTGCCACCAGTTGAACGTTCAAGTGTTTACTTTGGGACTTTCCTCTAGACTTAATCAACCTCTGTAAAACCTAAGAGAAGAGATATGAATCTGAGGTATTGTCAATGTTGATTAAAAAAATAATAAGGATCTTTTTTAAAAGATTTATTTACTTTTATTACAAAGTCTATACAGAGAGGAGGAGAGAGAGATGAAGGTCTTCTGTCAAATGATTTACTCCCCAAGTGGCTGCAATGGCCGGGGCTGAGCCAATCTGAAGCCAGGAGTCCGGAGTCTCCTCCAGGTCTCCCACGCAGGTACAGGGTCCCAAGGCTTTGGGCTGTCCTTGACTGCTTTCCAAGGCCACAAGCAGGGGGCTGGATGGGAAGCAAGGCTGCCAGGATTAGAACCGGCGCCCATATGGGATCCCGGCACATTCAAGGTATGGCACTAGGCACTAGGGTACTGTGCTGGGACCAAGATTTTTTTTTTTAAATACTCTGCTTAGCCCTGAGTATTAGATAACATGCAATGTGCGAAATTGTACACCTATGCATTCCAAGATGACACCATCCCCCTACCCTGGATTGCATCCTATTTTAGCTCCTTGTGAATTCTCAGAATACTGAGTTTCCATCTTAGATTTTGAAATCTCTGTTTCAAAGTGAACCTTGCACAAGTGGAAGAACGAGTCTGTACCAGGTCATTTATGTTGAGTAATTTTTAATATTATTTCTTTGAGTAACATTCTGGTTCACTACTTCCATGTCAAGTAAATGCAGCAGCCACTTACATATGTGATCTTTTCTGTCACTGATAGTTATGAGACAGTCCACTTTGATTTTACATTAATTATACTACTTTGTGATTAGAAATGGAGGTCAAATATTTATTTTGGAATCAGTGATACATATATGTCTTTTGGCCATTACTGTAACTGAATTTGCCAATGTAAGTCTCTTTTCTTTTAATTTTGTTTTTTTCTGAAACAGATTCCTCCCCTTCAAAACAGTGTTTGTCTCTGGGGTTCTGGGAAGACACTCAGGTCCAGTAGAGTTCCTGTTCCCGTCCACAAGGACACCAGAGGAATCAGGGCATGTGGGTGACGTCCCCTCCACTGCAAAGAGAGGTGCTTGAAACTCCCGAAACCCTGAATTAAAATTGATTTGCAGGTGGTCACAGAAACATCAGTCTTTTCTATTGATTCCTAAAGGCCTTGGTTGGGTCAATATACCCAAGTTTACACAGAGAAGTTTAGAAGGACTTCAGGGGGGATTAGAGGATGGCATAGCTTCTTGAAAATTCTTCTATTCTTGAGAAAAGATTCAATTCTGGCTGGGAGTTGAATCTGAATTTATATACTAAAATTAACTCTACGAAACTCTTTTAAAAAAACCTGGTAATATCTCCTAAGAGTGTCTATTTCATATTAATTTTCTAGGAAAGTGAGACATTCAAACCAAGAGACCAATTTGGACTGCCTCACTTTCATTTTTATCTGTCCAATGGCATAAAAATACATAGCAACTTTTGCACTGTGCTTAAAAAAAAAAAGAAAAAAGAAACCAACCTAAGCACAAATGTCAGAGTCTGTAACAGTTCCATAGGACATGTTTACATGATATTTTATTTCATGCACAATAAATATAAACATTTTAAAATAAATATTTATCTATTTGAGGTACACATAGAGAGAGAGAAAAGTGAGGGAGAGAGAGAGAGAGATCTCCAATTGGCTGGGTCATTGCCAGATCCATGCAACAGCTGGAGTTAGGCTACGCCAAAGCTGGAAGCTGGGAATATAATCCGAGAACCGATGTGGTTGGCAGGAGTCCAATAATTGAGCCATGCTACTGCCTCTGACAATCTATATTAGAAGGAAGCTGAAATTCAGAGCTGGAGCTGGTTATTGAACTTAGGCACTCTGGTAGGGTTACACACAAGGCATTTGACCTAGCACACTTACTCTTCTGAAGGAATACAAGGGACACAAGAATCACTGTCATCCCAAAAAAAAAAAATTATCAAGCTGCATTCTATAAAGAATGTTAGTGAATGTTAGTGTGGTAGCCTACTGGCTAAATCTCTGCCTTGCGCATGCCAGGATCCCACCTGGGTGCTGTTCTATCCTGGCTGCTGCACTTGCCATCCAGCTCCCTGTTTATGGCCTGAAGTAGCAGTCAAGGATGGCCCAAAGCCTTGGGACACTGCACTCACACGGGAGACCCTGAAGAAGTTCCTGGCTTCGAAGGGCTCAGCTGCGGCCACTGTGGCCACTTGGAGAGTGAACCAGCTGACAGAAGATGTTTCCTTCCACCTCTCTTTCTCCCTGTAATTCTAGCTTACTGATAAAAATAAATAAGTCTTAAAAAAAAAAGTTAGTGTCCTCTTCTCACTTCTCTTAATTTTTTTTTGTTATCACTTGCACAGCTATCTGGTTTGGGACCCAAATACATAGTTAACTTCTTGAAGGAATAGACCATTTTTTACTTGTTATCTCTGAAGTTCTAGAATCAGTGCACTTTGAATTTTAAAATGTGCTTACTGTGTCTCAAGAAGATGTTCTCCTTGCCAGTTACAACAACAAAAACAAACACAGAGAAAAGAATATTCTAAGTTGGAAATTTGGAAAGTGGTAAACAAGCTCGCTGGAAATCCATCCCACCACAGAGTGCTTGGATTCCAATCCCAGCTCTGCTTCTGATTCTAACTTCTTGCTAATGCACACTCTGGCAGGCAACAAGTAACAGCTCAAGTGGTTGGGTTCCTGCCTCCCATAAGGGAGACTGGATTAAGTTCCCAGCTTCTTGGCTCAACATGGGCCAGCAACAGCTATTGTGGGCAGTAGAGAAGGAATCAGCAGATGGGAGCTCTCTGTCTTCTTGTATCTAATCGAAGAATTTTTTAAATTAAAAAAAAAAAAGAACAGAGATGAACTAATTACCTTTGGTGATGAGACTTTCACATGAACAATAATTGGTGCTAAAGAAGTCTTTATAAGTTGTGCTGGGTGATTGATTGTGTCTGCATCAAGTACAACCAGTTGCAAAGATCTTGCCAGCTCAAAGATTCTTTCAATTTCACTTTGTACTTCCGCTGAAAGGAGAATAAGTATACAACAGGTTTTAGATATTTCATTAATTAGTACTTAAATTAAATAGTAAATCCTTCAGCTATGTTTGTCTGCATTGCATAAAAACATTTTGAATATTCACAAACTTGTCTAATTCAAGATCTTTTCTAAAGATAGGTTGAGTTTTGCATAAAACCAATCAAGGGAGAAAACTGAGATATTTTCTTGACTTGATTCTTGCGCTCCACCTGAGTTTTAGCTATGTATATAGTTATGGTGGCTTTTTTTTCTCTTTTGATTATCACTTTTTTTCTAAAGAACTTTCATTTTTAACTACAGATGTTGAGACTATATTGAAGAAGCAACTGAAACATAATGTAAAGTAACATACTTGGCAAATAAATTACACATACATTTCTATCAACATATTATATATTAAAATTCTGTGGATCTTTTTTTTTAAAAAAAGAATCTCACATCTTGGTTGTGACCTATCTCTATCTATCTACCTACCTATCTATCTTCTGCCAACTATTGTATTACTAGGTCTGGATGAATGGAAGTGTTAGAGTGAGTGAGTAGACTAGTTTAAGGCATAATTATCTTCAGTGTTAAAAATAAAAACAAAACTAAGACCTTTTACATTAAAATGCTGTAACTCATCTATTTCAAATCAGTCAGATTGGTTGTAACAGCGAAGTGACCTAAATACATACATGAGTCTGGTCAAAATAAAATCTAATCTTTTTCAAATATGTGACGTAATCCACCCATTCTTACAGGAAAAGATTATATAAAAAGCAAGATTTCTGAACAGCCAAACATATTTCACACAAAATAAATATATTCATATCTAAAAAATAAACATGGTCATATTCAATGTTTGTATTAAATGACTCCATTTTAGAGAGATGACTTCATCTATTTATGGCAACAGACACACTCTAACAGTATTGTAATCTGCTCTCGAGTACAGAAAAGGTAGACAAAACTACCTAATTTAAATCATTTCAAAGATGGCTTAGGAAAAAGTTAATGTTGCTCTAAATATCCTTAATGAAAGTAATTCATGCTATGATCTATGCTTATTGATTATATAAGTTCACAACCCCCAGCAATAAATTCTCTTCTTTAACAAAAAATATCTATCATGAGATCATGAATACCAGAGATTATCATAAGACTTTATTTAACTTTGTACAGTAGCTTAAAATCCTTTTTTCTTAGAATCTCTGATGTTTAACACATGATATATATTAAAAATTGTGAGCTTGTAGTCCTCTCTGTCTCTCTTCCTCTTTGTGTATCTGACTTTGCAATATAATAAATCTTTTAAAAGATTGTGAGCTTGGAGAGTAAATGTATATATCACTTTTTATATTATTTAATGTCAAAGGCTTTAAATATTTCATACTGTGGTTGAAAGATGATCACCTCTCAAAAGACATCAATGTAATGAAACTGGACAAAGATTTATTTGTCATCATTTTCTGAAATTATACTTATTTTTTTTAGTAATCATAAGCAAAATTTACCTTCCCCCTCACATATCTGAAACAAGAAGTTTTTCTTAAGGTAGAGATTTGAAGCATAAAGTCAACTTTTATAGTTGCAAAATTCAGCCTCAGCTGTTGAGTATGTTTTTCATTGATTGTTTTCATTAAACTGCCTCTGGCTTAAAGAAGCTCCTGGCCAGGATTAAAGCAGAATGAGTCTCTATTGTTTCGGCTTTACATCTGAACACAGTATTTCTTGATTCAGTAGAAAGGTAGAGACAGGAACTGGGCTGCCCTGGTACACAGTTCCCCTGAGGCACTGTGGGTCTCTGTAAATGACTCAGAAACACCTGGGCCTTATTTCCGCTGCACAAGCAAGGAGCATAAGGGTGGCTCTGATAGCAGCAGAGGACAGGCACACCTACTGCTTAACCAACACAAACCCTTGGGCAATGGGCACTCTGCTGGCATAAGCAGAGAGATACTTAGGCTGAGTGAGTCAGGAAGCCACAGAGCCTTACCAAATACAGGGCGGGTCCAACATCTGGGTAATATTCTAAAGACTGCCAAACAGAAATTACAGGTGAGAGAAGCAGAAAGGTGTATTTATCTACCTAGCTAATTTTCTTAAAGAAAAAGATTTTAACAAAACAAACAATTTTGACTGGATGCCTAAATTAATTCTCAGGGGAGTTCAAATAAAAGTCTCCTCAGAATCCCATTGCAGCCCAAAGGAGCTCTGGGCAGTCATGGACTCACACTGCTGGAGGACCTCAAAGAACATTTGTAAAATCTGATCATTACTGGTAGTTCTCTCTGGGAACCCTTTCATCAGCGATCGTCCTTACACTCAAGTCTACTCATATTGCTGAGTGTAGGTAACGTCAAAGCTTTCCTAAGACCTAATCTAACCTTCTTCCCCAATAGGTACTCTTGAACAGACATCTCATATCTTAGGAGAAGTAGGGAGTTTTAACAAGGGATATGCTGCATACTCGAACAGCACTTAGAAGAATTTCAAGTTGTCAATTTTAAGAAACTGGACAAGTGACTCCTTGTATCTTAAGAAGTCTAACAGTGAAGGATCTTCCAATTGTTTAACCATCATTTCTAAATTTATTTTGCCAAAGAAAAACATTTTGAATGTAAGCTTTACTAAAGTATTGAAAAATAAACACTTCACGGTATCTCTTTGTGGATTTCTTTGCAAGGCACACTAGAGCCCTGATGCATTGGCTTAACCTACTTTTTAAAGCTATCCTTCTATTACTCCAAAACCACACCCACATTCTCCACTTCTAAGCATGCTATGCACAAACCCACTTGTTTCTCAACCTCAGTGCTTTTATTAATGTGCTAATGTCTTTGTGTATTCTTGTCTGCTTCCAGGAACAAGCTAACCCTAACCTCTATGTCTCTTCATATGCTTCTCATCCCCAATCCTCCTTCATACTTCCTAGCTAGCTCATTGTTTTTAATTTCATTATTCCAGAGTAGTTTAACCATCTGTTCCTTTTTTTCCCCCCTCAGGAGTAAAATACTCTGCATAGATTTGCTGTCATTTTCTGACTCTATTATAATGCTTGGTACATAACATTTGATGAAGGAATCTATAGTCACATATTAATAAGCATACAAAAAGATATTAAATAGGTCACACATAATAGGTTGCCATTAAATTAACTATAAGGGTTGCGGATTAATGATTTAACAGAGTCACTGAGATCTACTTCATTTTTTCACTAATATTTACATTATCCCAGCCCACCCACCCTTCTGCCCGACAACAGGTGACTAGATTATGAAGACTGTCTTAATAAATATCCATGAAACCTCTGCCTGTGGGGATGTTAGAAGGAGTTAGGCAATCAAGCTTCTGATTTTCAGTGTCCTATAGCCTCTCATCAGACATGTGCAGAAGGAATGATTAAAAGTCAGATACTATAATAGAAGGAAGGAGAAAGACCAGAGAACAGATGCTTGGTTGAGAAATCTTAAACCCAACCAAACATCCTGATTATCAGTGACATTTTTTTACTTCAGTTTGTCACTTAGTCTGATTCACCATCAACACTGTCATTTTCATCTCCTCAACGTTCAATTATTACCATGTTTGTAAGAAGGTTTCCTTTGCATGTGCAGTCTCCTGGTACAGGACTCAAAAAGGACATACCTTTGCCATTCCATTTGGTATGTTTCACATTCTTTCAAAAAGCAGCCCTCCAAAAAGCATTTACTACCAATGACTGTGTGCCAATCCTAGAAGAGGGATACAGCAATGCTACCGTATCTTTTCATTGACGTGCACAATCCTTACCTCAGGGTCAAGGCATAGCCACCAGTGGATTCTGGATGAGATATTAATGTGTGCACTCTATCTTGGATACTTTTAACACCATTTCTAAGCTTTATGTCATATTAGATATAGATATAGACATAGATATAGAAAGATAAAACAACTCATTTCAACAGTTTACAAAGAAGTGAAGGTATAGAAGAACCCTATGCTTCCTAGCTAAATTCTTCTCAGACAGCGAACAGAAAAAAGACTCCTAGGAAGTTTTGGGGGGATGACATCAGTCTGATGGTAACAGAGACCAGTAACGGTTTTTCAGATGATCAACATGCTTCATCAGTCTTGGCAGTGTAGAGACTGGTACCTCAGATAAAACATGCTCACAATCTCCACATGTTATTAATGTTGCCTGTCATTTCCATGTAAAGATGTGACTAATCTGTGTAATACCAGCTGGCAGCAGATGCAATACTAAGAACACCATTATCTAGCTCTCTGAGCGTATAAATATCTGCAAAGGCTGGGCATCTCATTTCCTTTCATTTCAACTGTGACTCAGGTATGACAGATACTATTAGCCTCTTTGAGAAGCTTAGGCAAAGCAGAGACAAGTGGTTTCACATGGGTAGGCAGTAGCAGACCAAGAGGGCCCCCTTGAGCATCCTTCCCACCAGGCTACTAATTAGCTAATTGACTGGAGCTGACAGAGAGCAGGCTCTGGTTGCAGCAGGACAGGTCTCCCCACATGCCCATTCTCTTCTGTCAATCATCACTTCTCCATTTAGAAGAGGGAGCAAATAGGAAAAGACATTCACAAACACACCAGGTGTCATCCTGGTCTGAGAGCACAAAGCAGAACCATATTTGTGCAGCTTACCTAAGCTGGACCGGGTGTTTGAACGTTCAATTATTGCTCTCTTGCTGGGATTATTTAGCACAGATCTCTTAGCAAGAGAAATGTCAGCTGTCACTCTCGTTATTGATATCCTATGAACAGAAGCACAGAACATAACAAGTCAGTAAAAACAAAATATGATGGGTTCTCCAAGTGATTTATAACTACAGTTCTTAAAAATCATTTAACATACTGCAGTAGAGGCACAGTTTAATAAACACTGGCCATGAGCTTTTAAACAGCTTTCACCTAGTCCTAAAACACAAGCAGAGCAGAATGCAGAAAAGTTCTGGCCACTTAACAGCCGCAAAAGTACCCTAATAAAAAACGCTCTTTCCTTCATCATGATTTGCCTTTCTGAGCTCTTTACAACGTCCACCATAGCAGGGGAAATAAACCATGCACTTCTAGGAGACAGCAATACACTTTCCCCACAACTCACAGTTGATCTGCTCTTGAACAAGACCTTCAGGAACCACAAATGCTCTGCTCAGCATTTCAATGCTGTCAGTCAACAGGGGTAAACCTTATTCATCGTGACTATCAGAGATAATCTACCAGTTGGTGGGTAAGTTGCATTCCTTGAGCTTAATAGCTAATTTACAAGAAGCATCTTTCAAGAGGCCTAAAGGGATCTCACTTCAGCTGCAAGAATGTGAAAAATAGGGTTTCTTTTATGGGGGTACAGGATTCTGCATGAAACTGAGTTTACATGGCAGGCATAAGATATCACAGTGGAGGTCAATGCAAGTACTCTACCAGGATCTTGGTAAGAACATGCCATGCAATCACTCAAGGGAAAAACAATATGAAGGTATCACAAAGAAATGGAGAGAGGGCTCTCTGTGCATTTGATTCAAAGAATACCTGGAACTTAAAATGTTTCTCTGGGACCAATTTAGATCTTTATTTCAAACTGGGATTGCTCAACTTCCAATTATTATCTACCTATAGAATTCAAAATTTTCTTTTCTACTGGTCTTCCTTATCTTCACAGCTTAGTAGAGGTGCCAGAAAGGTGATAGGAAAGGCAGAACCCTTTCCCTTCATACTCAGTGCACCCATTCTCCTCCATTTTCAAACTCCTTTGGGGGTTGAATCAGGAAGGTCGAGTCATTCACAACTACCGAACTGTCTGACTGAAGATTCCTTACTTGATTTTAGTGACCTGCAGCCTTGGGAAAAATTTAATAGTCTTTTTTCACTCTGTAAAATGAAGCACAGTGCCAAAGTTCTGGTGCCATCTCCAAGAAAAGCAGTCTTGATTTGTTGTTTCAGGCAACTAGTTCAGGATCACAGGCTTGAAAGCCACACCTCCCCCACCTACGTGGTCCTTACTGCCCACCTGTGACACTCACCTATCATTACCTGGAACCTGAGAGGGGGCAGTATTACGTTATTGTGTAACCACTCCAATAACAAGCCCCCATAAAGGATCATGATAAGCAGGGGCTTGATCTCTTGGTGGCACGCTTCCGTTGCTCTTGCACTCTGACCCCTGCTCTCCCCGGTACCCATTCGCTCTCTGGCTTCCTGTGGACAGACTCCAAGGACAGAGGTAGCCCCTGAATACGGCCCCTGTACGTCTGTAGTCCTCACTTTCTGTCCACTCCTTAGGGGAGTCAGTGAAAATGCAAATGCTAAGATGATTTGCATTTCTAATTTGTGTACTTCCAAGAGTTCCAAGAGAGGTGAGGCCTAGCAGTAATGGAACGTGGGCCGAGTAGCCAGGAAAAAGCGACTGTTTGCAGCTTTGTTAAGCATGTCCAGGCTGTTTACTGCATGTCTCTTAGGATAATTTATATTGCTGGGGAAGCTGGAACATAGTAATGACCATTTGTTCCTCTCAGGGTTTCAATTCAGACTGGACTGCCAGGGTGACTTCATTTGCTAATCTATGGTGAGCACCGCCATCTCCAAGCTTGGTTAATAAATAATGACTCCTTAATATATCCTAGAATTGTGATTCTTGCATCTCGAAATAGATTGTGTCATTGTATTTATAAACTGTAAATATCCAAGGAATTTTTAATTTTTAAACTTTTGAGAATTTTTAGGTCATGATAATTACCTGGTCCATTTTCAAACTGTCTTCCACAGAAACTATTTGTACTACAGGGAAGCTGAGATGGCAGCTTTCCAGCTTTGTCGCTGCCATGATGCCAGGCAGATACTTCTGCATTCCCATTTTCCACACTGAGGCTTACATATAATTTTACTGTAAAATGTTCAACTTCTAAAAGACATTGGAAAACACCAGCAGAACAACTACTTTGTCTCATTAAGAAGGTAACTGGGGCAAAGAGAGGGCACTGGACCTGTTTGTTACAGGCTATGATGGTCTAAACCACACTCCTGAGCATCAGGCTAGACTTGGTCACATGACCCCCTAATTTTGTTACACCAGAATTTTCTTCCCTAGCAACTTTGAGTCTTCAGGTCGCACACAAATCATCAAGCACAGGTACACAGACAACACTACTCTTGCACTGGAAGATGGTGAGGATTTCAGTCAAGTGGAGGTCATGTGACACCCCCCACCTGGCATTTCCTTTACTCAGTTGGTCAGTACAGCTTTGAACATGAGATATCATGGGTAGCTCCTTTTCTTTACAGAACAAGATTTGTTTGTGTACTTCTGGGTTTCCTGTTTAACAATGGAAATTTTGGATAAAAACATTCAAATGTTCTAGAGCAGTCCAAACACATGGTTGGGGACAAGTCTGTTGGTTTAGAGACAAATTAAACTTTTTTGACTAATGATTTTGAAGAGCCCAATATTCTATTTTGCTTAAATGAAAATTTCATTTTCCAGTATGATTCAAGTCAAATAGTGACTCTTGGTTCTTAGAATGTGAAGACTTTATCAAGAGATGCAGACTCTTATTTTTTCTGAATATTAAAAGTGTAAATTTTACAAAGTCACTTCCAAACACAACCGCAGTTTAAAAACACATGAAAGGTTGTTTTAAATGTGCCAAAAATGGAAGAAGAGGTGTGAAATCCAGAGGCTTTCTTTTTCAATTTCATGTGCTAGTCAAAATACAAGTTAAATTTAGTAACACAAGCTATTTATTGATAAATAATGCATATGAAATGGGACTCAACAGAAGAGACAGTCCTAGAGACTCTTCAGTGAGACAAAATAATAGTTTCTCTTTCTATGCAAAGATGTTTACTATTATAGAAAAGAAATTCCAAATCCCAAATTCATTTCTTAATAAAGACATCTCAACAAAGTAATTTCACTCAATATTTAGTGGTGTCAAGTTTATATAATTTTTTTTTTTACTTATTGTGCCACCCATCTTTTCTTCTTTTATGACTATACCTACACCTGCTAAGGTCTTAAAACACTCTTTTACAATTTATTTGGTATATAAGGGAACTTCAAAGAGTTGGCTGAAAAAATGAATTGAGAAGATATATTTTTATATCAATTTTAATGCATTTTTATAAAAACCATATATTTTTCATAATGCTTATTATCAATGAACCTCTATAAAGTTCCATCATATACGTGGATTTCAAATTTTTTGCACCTAAATAAATTCAATTTTTCAAAAAGTATTTCTTAAAAATATTTATTCCAATGGCACAGTGACACAGAGATGAAGAGACACAAAGAGATTAAGGGAGAGAGGCAGAGAGACAGCGCTCTTCAATCTGCTGGTTCACTCCCAAATGGCCCTAATATCTGTGGCTGAGTCAGGCTGAAGCCAGGATTCAGGAACTCCATCCAGTCCCCCAGTTGAGTGGCAGGAAATCAAGTACTTGAGCCACCACCCACTACCTGCCAAGCAAGAAGCTAAGCAGAGTAGTCAGAATTTGAACCCTAATCTATTAAGACATATGGTGTCCCAAACTGCAGCTTAAAGCTCACTATAATACCTGTCTCATAAGCTTTTCTTTTAATTCCATTTTCAACAGACTCTTTGTAGCACCCTCCTGTGTCTCTAAGAAGTTCTCTTGGGAACCTTCTGTGATATACTTTGTAATTATGCACAGTATGTGAAGGGCTAAAAGTTCAGTTCTCTAGAGGACTGAACGCAGCAGGAATTTTCTTTAGAAAACACTGAAAGTCATATTCTCTGAAATTCTCTAAACCCAACTACCACATATTTCTATGGAATTCATTATAATTGCTGTAATCGATCATGTGCTGTAAGTATGAGTTTTCTGTGGTTTTCTATGGAAAATGAATTACTGTCAATATTTTCACATTTATTCAAAACTAATTAGTATTTTCATGTTGGTAATATTTTACTTGTAATATTCTTTTACAGATGATCCTTGTTACATCTGACATGTGACCCAATAAGTATACATATTTTAAAAATTCTAGTATGCATGGGTTCCAAAGTACAGAACTACACATTTTTAGGAGGACAGGGATGAAAGTGACAGAACTGAAGTATCGTTATAGATCTTCTTGGCTGTTGCTTGATCAGGGACATGTCATGACATCTTTTGAGTTTCAGTGTCCTAATCAACAAAATGCAACAGTAGATATGCTATAACTATCTCATGGAACTGTCATTAGTAGCAAGAAAAGAAATATTTAAAATTTCCTTCTTAAATAATTATTCATAGCCTTTAGGAATAACTGGCATATGCATAATGTATTTAAGATAATTATCAGAAATTTGAAGATTTGAAGGAGATACACTTCTATTATAAACTATCCTCAAGAGTGCATAATCTGGGAGTGGGAGAGGCCTGGGAGGGAAATAGTGGGCTCATCCCTCTTGGGTTACCACTTCCACGGGAGGGCATAAAACTAGGACAGCGGCTGGAGTGGAATGGGGTGTGGGACAGACTGGATTACTGCTACACATACTGGCAAACCAGGGCAGAGGGCGGGCCTGGTGGGGGTTATTGCGGTCGCTCCAACTAGGCTGCAGCTCCCACTGGTTTATGCGAGGGCCACGTATGTGCTGGGCAGAACCAGGCTGGACTGCAACACCCATTGATTCCAGTGGAAGTCGGGAGTGAAAACAGAACCAACCCAGCAATTGCAACCACCAGCTGATGGGGCGATGGACTGTGCTGGGCCCTGTACTTGCTAGCACATACAAGAATCTGGTTTGAGCACACCTCAGACAAAGTTTCTTTGGAGATCTCCCCAATCAAAATGCTGGACTCAGAACCCTAACCAAGAAAAGAGAGAAGACAGAACAGGTCAACCAACCATCTCAGCTATGATGGACTATGTCAATCAGTGGATTCTTCAAGGACCTCATAGTGCTTGGAGTGGCAAGATTGGCAGCGATTCATAACTGTTGAAATATCAAAACCACTTGAGCAAGAACCTCAGAGCATGCCCTACATCCGGGACCTGGGGAGGGTGGGAAATTGGGTGGGCCTTCTCCCTTAAATACCCCCCTTTAAACATGAAGGAAACAATATGGAAAAAATACTAGTCTTACCCACTTTCCTGTAGCCCTTGAATCTTTCTACCCTAATTAACCATGTAAAGATTGTCAAAATAAAAAAAAATGCAAAAAAAAAATAATAAATAAACTATCCTCAAAAGTTAGCATTCTATCATGGATTCTCCCCACTTCTGTGAAATTTATACTACACTGTGAGGACTGGGCAGCTATAATCAAAACATCCTAAGTTAAGTATTTACATTTGAGATATAAAGAGGTCAATTATTTTTTTTCTGTCGGATGAGTCTGCATTTGAATATAAAACCATAAAAGAAATTCTAAGAGAATGATGTTGATTGAGACAGGAAACACTGCTGGTAAATTTCTACCGGATTATAGCTACAGATTATTTTTATTCTTACATGACTTGGCTGTGTTGTGATAACATCGAGCATTCCCATTTCATCTTTACAAATAGATATCATCTCTCTGAATTGCTCTAAGTTGTATTCTCAGCTTCTTTTGCAGTCTTTCTCAAATCTTTGATTCTCTTGATATGTTCCTTGAACAGCAGCTTCGTTTAGCTTCAGTTTCTATCTGTGTATGTTACACAGCGCTCACTTAAGCTTTTTTGGTCATGATCATTTAAGTCACAAAGCAGGTGACAAATGCCATAAAGTTGAACTTTATGGGTAACAACTTTATGGGTATTTGAAATGATTGACATAGGTTAACCAACTGCAAATACTACGACTACTTTTCATTCAACCTACAAGCGGTCTAATGTAGTCAACTGAACAAACTACACTGGACTGATGACTCCCAATGAGTGTGGCTTGAAATGAAGAGAGAAATTCCACACTGGTGCCACTGTAGCAATTTGTAGGTCTAGTTTATCTTTATCATTTGTGCATAAAAATCATTATACACTGAGATACTCATATAGAGAGAAGGTCCTTCACATTTACACTTCACATTTTCCTTACAGGTAATAGTAACTGGGGCCCACAATTACAATGACATTCACATTTTCCTTACAGGTATAGTAACTGGGGCCCACAATTACAATGACAACAATGAAGTTGCATAATAACTAGCTCTAAACTGTGTCGAATTATTTCAAAGGTATCCAAAATATTCTGCTGTCAATGATTCTATTATAGACAAGGTGTTGGACTTCAATCCAAGCTTTTTCAATGATTTTATAACCTGGATCTGGAAAGCAGTATTGAAGAAGAAAGCCTTTTTACCAGTGGATTTCTCCTTCACTGTTTCTGAAAAACACTGGGACTTTCCACTGACTTCTCATCTAGGCTACTGCCTTCACAGCTGCTGAGACACTGAGCAGGTGCTCATTAGAGAACATTGCTGATGTGCTTTATTGTGCTAAAGTCTTCTGCAGAATCATTCTTTTGGCTGGTTCCAGTTTTTCTTTCCATTTATTAATTGGTAACAAAATGCAGCAGATGTATTTGTATTTCACAGACGGAAGATTTGTCAGTCTATGTGAACCTACCGGCAAATTTTTTCTTATCAATTTCTCCACATACTCTTGCAAATAACTCACTGCTTTTCTGCTGTGCTGGACTCTAATTATTTGAAAGCAAGTCCACACTCTGGCTCTAACCTTTGACCTCTACCAGCTCTGTTGTGCAGAAGATTTCTCTAGGGCTGAGTCTGTCTCCAGCTACAATATGACTTTTTATTGCTGCTGGACTTTTGCTCCAGATTCTCTGTTGTGTCATCAGACTACATGAATACTTGGCATTGACATTTTAATTCTATCCCTATGATAACTGTATGTAATTGATGCAGACAATTCTGCTTGATCCAAGAAAATTCTCTGTTGGTATGAAATGAATTTCCTCTTTATCAAGAGGAGACATCAATTTTGTTTTGTTTTTTTATGCTTGAGTGTAATAATCAAATCATTCTTTGCTTTCGCTAAATCATCTAAAATCCTTTCTTTTAATCCCAAAGTCCTATCTTTCAAACCTTTAACAATATTGTTGTTCACAGGCATGCAATGTGGGGACTAAATCAGTCTAACATAAACCCAGGCTGCGTTACGGGTTTGTTCACATTGAGGGTTATGACAGGGTCAGAGGAAAGATGATTGTTCAAAACTATCTTAGAAGGTACTTCAGGTTAAATCCAAATGACACCAAGCAAAGCTCAAGAAGAACAGAGGCCTGTGCTACCTTCAATCAGTGGAGAGTTGTATGAAGGTAAGGGCCATGGATCAAAACATCCAAGGCCAGGACCAAGACCAAGGCTATTCAGTTAAACAGTCAGAGTGCAGCTCATTCTCTGTTATGTCTTTCAAGTCAACTCCCAAGAGCTAGCCATATATTTGTTTTGTTTTGTTTTAACAGGAGCAGACTGTCTGAGTGTGGCTGCTGGAAAGATTACCTGTCCTTCTAAATTCAATAGTCTAGTCTTCAGTGCTTCTCACTTGCATTCTTTGAAACCACTTCATTCTCTGCTTGTCTTCTTTTGAAAAGAGTGAAATGGGATAAAAATCTGCTTTTCTTTTATAGCTTTTGCACTCACTGGCAGAAGGGGGTAACTGTTCAACACAACCTATTTCTCCATCCTTCTGGATGCACAGGTAGGTAGTATTTTCCAGCCTCCTTTGCAACCAGGTATGAAGACATGACCAAGTTCTATCCAGTGAAATGAGAGAAGTCATCTGTACCTCCTCCAGATCCTGTACATTCCTTTCCTAGACCAGCTGACCGAGAGATCATCCCCAACAAACAGGTTCAAAATGACAATCTTTCTGTCCACTTCCCCCCTTCTCCTTCTCTAGGCCTTTTTCAGCCAGGAACACCTGTGTTTGATTGGCAAGTGAGCAACAACAAACTTCCATTGTGTCTATGTCATAAACACATTCTATTAAATTAGTGTGACCCACATTCATGTATTTTGTAATCCACACAATGGTGTGGAAACATTTTTTTTAATTAAAGTCTCAATTACTGAAAATAAAATCTGTTTATTTTTTTAATATATAGTCCTTAGCAATTAATGAATACTTTAACGCAATTATCCAAAAGACTTTTTGGGGGTTCAAATACAATTTGTACTTTGAGTATTTTTTCTTAAATACTAGCTTCATTAAAATCAATTTGAAAATATTTGGCTTTTTATAATTTGCTCCATTTAAGGGAACAAATTAAATAAACTCACTCATTTTTCTTGAAATGGGCTATTCAAATTTTTGTCAGCCCAAATCTCCTGTTTTTTTCATGCAATTTTTACTTGCAATGCATTCTACATTGTGAAAACTCCTAGTACTTAGTATTGGGTTAATCATGACTTTTTACATTGCGCTTCCAAGCATGGAAACTGTCATAGACATCTTTTGTAACATTCAAATGATCAAATGACTTGATGGCTCAAAGCTGAGCTTTACTACTAATAATAGGCCATGGTAGGAAAAATGCAAAACAGACCATGGCAACTGCAGGAATTACAAGATCATTTCCAAGAAAATAAGCCCAGAGCTAATCATCCTAAAAGGTATTATTTCCTCCAGGAATAGTCACTTTGGAAGGATTATGATGGAAACAATTCTTGTATCCTTCTGAGGAAATTCAAGCCTTTATATATTCATATCATACACACACAGTGTGCAAACACAAGCTCAAGTGATGTTGCCCAGCCTCATCAGCAAACCACTGCAATATTCACCAGATATATAACATATTTTAATTAGTTTATAAGAGTCTGTTATGACTTCAACATGAAATAAGAAAAATAAAAGCTAACATATTTCATGTTCCTATCTCCTTGGAGATTCGTGCCATTTTGCTTATTTTCAGAGCCCTTTCCTTCCCTGTCCCCCCAAAATGCAATGCTAACTTTTTAGTAAACTTCTGCAAATGCTGAAAACAAGATTCCATACATTTTTTTTTCATACAATGTTTGGTTACAGGAAAATGAAGAATATACAAAAACATCTGTACATCTCACCTCCCATCAAACCTGTGCTTCAGGAAATCAAAGAGGGCTTTCTGCATCATGTCTGTTACCTTTGCAGAGGTGGGAACAAGAGAATGAGGCAAACAGAGAGAAAAGAGAAGTCAAATGTGAGAGCAGTTGAAGGGAAGGGCACTAGGATTGAACAGAGACCTTAATCACAAGCTCCTAAAGGAAATTATTGTGGAAGAAGCTTCTTATACGTGACCAAGCCAAGTGGCTGAAATTTCTCTTAGTTCTCTCCTCAGATGCCTAGGAATACATTAATAGTGCTCAAGACCCCCAAGGCAAACCTCTAGTCTCTGCCCTTGTTAAGGGAGAGGACTGCCACCAAGAAATGACAGGCTGTCTTGCACAGGTGTTGGCCATCCTTGGCATGCCTAAGTTGTGCTGGAGTGCAGTGAGAAACAATTAAAAATCCCACAGGCAGTGCTGGGAATTATCTGATCGATCTGTGTTGATGGAAATTTTCTATTCCCATGGCTAGAATTTTGTCTCCTTTGTTTCCACTTTTCCCTATGACATTTCCAACTCTGACAGAAAGAGAGGAGAGATGGAATGCTTAGATCTGCCCCAAAGAGATTAATTTGTTCAACAAATGAGTACTGAGTGTACACAAATGTGTACAGGCTCAATGGGAATGGCACTCTGGAGGCATCTCCCTTTCAGATTTCAGCGTTCACCTATTTAAACCATGCTAGCACAAGGTCAAGAAGCCAATATCTAAAATGCCACACAAGCAAGTCCTCTACTTGCTACAGGATATTACTCAATTCCTCTCCAAAGCTCACCCATGTTTTTGGTGAATTTTTATCTATATCTCCTGTAAAATAAATAAGAACGCACATTTGGTAGAACATACTAATGTCTTGAGCACACAGTAGGGTGAGATTTGAGGGGTTTAGGTTTGCTGGAACATTGCTTATATATTCTCCTGTACTAGACTTACTCTAATAGTTCTAATAATAGTAGGAATGGTACAGGGTAATGCATAGAAGATGAAAAGGAAAGAAGGAGCACAAGGTCACATAATCCCACATTGTCCCTCCCACCTTCCCATCCTGAGAGCTGGCTTCCACTAATACCTAAATGTGGCCAGACTCTGGAGGAGCAAGCACCCACATGACCGGCTCCTGAGATTCTCAATGAAGAAGTGAAGAGTGACAGGTGATATTTGTACCTCGTAACCTTTCAGAGATGGCCCCACTAACACCACAGGGCGCATTGATGGCACGACATCATAAGGAGGAATGTGCTCCGTCTGAAAAAGATGATTCAACACATGTGACAAGCTAGGCTTGAGCATACTACCTTCACAGCCACAACATTCCCAGTGCTCATGTTCAACCATCAATGATGACAATGAGTCCCCCCACCAAGGAGGCATATCCCTTATTTTATAGCCATTGGGTCACTGAAATGAAGCATTGCAGGCACATATGTATAAAAACCTTAACAGACTTAAAAAGGAAACACAACTTACCACTTTTTGCTTCTGTTTTGCTAAAAAAACAACAATGAGAACCATATCAAAACATATCATTGCTGTAAGTGATAGTATAAGACCTTAAAAAATGGATGCAAGTAGGCATGTGTCCCTATCATTATCTTCCTTACTGCCCCATCACCCCCTCTGAAATGTCCATCTCTGTTATTTCATTCTGGATGTGCTGATTTTGAACATATGAGAAAAGCACACAGCTTCCTCCCTGAACAAACATACATGTGTCCTAATTCTACATTGGGAGGGGGTGATGGAAGGGAGTTCATCATGACACTGGACGTTCTGGGCCTGTCATTAACCATGGGCTTCTTCCCATGAGGAATACCGTACCCAGTGTGGCTGGGAACAAGTGGAAAAGATGAAACCAATAAAGAAAGCAGAGCAGCAACACAGGCTAGAATCACTACTTATTTTTAGGGGTGTAACTATGGTAAACCAAAGATACATTTGTAGTTTTTTTTTGTTGTTGTTGTTGTTGTCTTGCTCATTTTCTAGGATACTGATGTTTTCTTACAATGCTACTTAGATATTTTAAATAAATTCATAATGAGCCATTTCTGTTCCTTCCAGTAGGCAACAGTCAAAAACTACCATGTCCTGATAATGAAAGAGAAGGAAAATATAGTCAGCATCTGATGAAAGTACTTTTTGACCATGCAAGCAGGTCCAGCTTATTAGAAGGGTGGAGGAGGGGCAACCTAGAGCCCTGGTTTGGTTCAGAGTGCTAGAGATCAGAAGGGATTCATAAGAACAAAGAAGCAGATCTTCATAACTGACCCCAAACCACTTTTAACACACATGAAGCCGACCTGCTGTTTTGAATTGCCCATCACTTATTGACAGAATGAAATTGGTCTACGGGGTCAGAGAAGGTAGAGGGAGAAAATTCCTGTGTGAATGTGTCTATAATTTCCAATGAGACCACCACACCATACATCGTTGTTCATTCCAGGATATGATGTCTACTGTCAAAGCAGAAATCATCTACCACGTTCTCAGTCTCAACTCACCCAATCTCCATCATCCTTGCTATAACAGTACATTCAAATTTTCACACGGGGAAAAAAGTAGAATTTTTTAATAGCCTACAACGTTTTTCTCCTCTCTTATAGGCCCTCTCCACAGCAAAGTCTGCTGGGCACTTGGGTAGAAGGATGAACTTGTCACAGATTGGCATGATACAGTGGATAATTACCTCAGGAGTAGATAAGGTTTTTCAAAATAATAAAAATCTGAATTTCTAGTTCCATTAGGAATCTTTTAATCAAACCCAATCACTACCGCAAACAAATGAGCAATGACATTTTCAATAAAAGAAACTTTCAAAATCAAATGTTTGATTTGTTTCCAAATTAGCAAAAATACTTGCATGTATCTTCAAATATTAAGAAATGAATACATCCCATTAAAACAGCATAACTAAGACCCTCACCTGTGGATGTGGGAGTTGCTCGGAATGTCCCTGATACCATTTCTCCCAGACTTGAGGAAGAATTTCCACTTGATTTCCTAGGATATAGAAAAGGAACTTAAAATTCCCTTCCCAGGTCCTTTGAAAACAGACTTGGAGAGCACAAAGTGTTTATTGGCCTTCATGCCACTAAAAGATACAAAACACACACATTCCCACTCCACAGAACTTCAAGAATCTGTCCAAATGTTTTCCTTGACCTCATTTCTCAGAGAAAGTAGGAAACTAATGAGATTCCAGAAAGACTTCACAAAAGTATTTCTTCCGGGGATTCAGTGTAGAAATCAGGCCGAGGAATCAGGCCAAGGAATTACTAACAGGCATGTGCTTCTGAACTGCTTGCTAACCTAACACCAGTCACTAAGACACAAATTTGAGCTGTCTACCAAAGCTCTGCAAACAGCAAGGAGCGGAAAGTATATAGCACAGAAGGTTAAGCCTCCGCTTGAGACACCTGCACTCCTCCTGGAGTGTGTTTCTGTGCCAGCTCCTCTGCTTCTGGCTTAGCCACCTGCACTTGGGAAGGCTGTAGAGGCTAGTCCACGTGTGTGTGCCCATGCCACTCACATGAGCATCCTAGAGAAGGCTCCTGTTTCCAGGCTTCAACCTAGCCACACCCTGGCTGCTTCAGTCATTTGGGGAGTGACCAAGAAGGTGGAAGGTGAGTCTCTCTCTCTCTGCCTTTCAAATAGATGAATATACAGATATTTTTAAGTCACAATACTAAAGGAATCACTTCTTCTAGAAACTGATTATGTGGGGGTCTGAGTTAAGAATTAACATGAAGGAACGAGTCACAAATAATATCATATCTGACCTAGATTGAAAGCATTAATCTCCTCCCATGTGCTGTGGCAGCTCCTCCGGAACCTACAAAGGCCCCAGAGTTCACATTCCCATTTCACAAACATTCCTCACTTTTGATACGTCAGAGACTGATCTGTACTCGGGAAAATGGGATTTCTCATCCCAGCATTGCCATTTAGTCAGCTTCCCCATTTGTAAGACACACAAGCTTCACTTTACAGGGCTGGTATGAGGATGAAATAAGACCAGATCTGTGAGCTCTTGGCTTAACTTTGTGCTGCCCCAAGGTCTTGGATTCAAAAGTTTATAACAAATTGTGGACTAATAAATAGCAGCAATGAAACTCTGAAAAACGATGAATTCATTTATTATTTATTTATTTGGTTACACTTCCATATTCTAGAAGCTAGGACTACAACCAATGGGTAATGGCAGAAGAGAATCTTTTCCCTTTAATGGGTTACAGTGTAGGAGGAGGATATACCAGTGCTAAACCACATAAGTAGGTAAATACACAATATTTCTGAGAGGAGTAAGAGCAAAAGAGAAAAGTCAGCCCAGGAAAGGGATAGGAAGTACAGAGAAGAATAGGGGCCATGTAAATACAGTGGGTAGGAAAGGGGGCCTTGGAAATGTGATGCTGAATAAAGACTTAAAGCAGGAAATAAAGTGAGCTGGTGAAAATGTGAAGGAAAAGCGATGGAGACAAATGCAAAGGCCCTGAGGCCAGAACCTGTGTTCCCCGTGTGTTTAAAGAAGAGCATGGAAGACGAAAGTCTAGAGAAAGGGACTATCTGATGAAAACACAGGCAAGTTACACACTAAGAAGACTGATAATTAGAAGTGGCTCAGTATGTCCCTTTGAGATCTATTTCTAATAAAAAGGCTCCCTGTTTGATAAGGGCAAAAAGGGTTCCAAAGAGCCGAAGAGCTTTTAAAAATTTTTTATTTAAAAAGGGCCCAATAGAAGTATAACCTATCAGGATCATAACTGGTAACTCATAGACAACAGACTCAAATCAGCATTAAACAATGGCAAAACTACAAAGGCATATGGGGAGAATCAGGAGCAATCTCAACAACCTCTTAACAGGAGGTCATATGCACAGAGCAGGGGGGACCCCAGAGTGGAGCAGGGGGACAGGAGGAGGCTTGTATCCCAACCCTGAAGACTCCCAGATCCTCACCAAGGACTATCAGTATGAGCTCCGAGGACTACATCCCAACCGCCAAGGAGACCACAGGGAATTGGAGTGCCTTTGGAGGCCGAGAACTCTGAGGTCACCCACCTCCATTTGGATCTACCACATGGGATGGGAAAAGCCCATACCCTGCCTTGCAGGATCCAAGGTCATCGGAAGGACAACCAGGAGCCCTGAGTGGTCCGCAGAAACAGAAATACAGTAAACTTCCTTCAGGACTAGGGAGGGGAGCTTTCTCTGGTTTGTGCCTGGTTCCGACTTTGGGTCCCCACCCTCTCTCGTAATGACCATCAGGATCACTCCAGAAACCCCTCAAAACAAACTAACAAATAAACAAACAAATAACAAAAAACAGCAAGGAAAGCTTAGAAACAGGAAATGGGCAGTGGGGATGCACTTATAACTCACTGGGTAGGACACAAAGATTAGTTAGTCCTCACTAGGGTATTGAAGATTTCTCTGCACACCCCTCCTAAAACTGTTCACCTAAACTGTTGACATATGTCTTGTTACAGTTATAGAGTTAGACTACCTGAAAAACAGCCAGGTTCTGCAAAATCATGCTTCAACGCTATAAACTGCTAAATACTAAAATTAAAATAGACATGAGACAGCTGAATAGTAATCTATAGCCATTTTAAGGTGTATAGAACCCAGCTGTATATAAACTAATAATTGTAATGTCAATGTAGAAGTCATAGGATGTGGTTCAGAACTTGCACTCTTTTTTTTTTCTTCTTTTCTCTCTCTCTCTTTGAACATGCTGGTTACACAATACCATGTCAACTAATTCCATTATGTTATAAATTGTTACTGATGTAATGTTGGGGCTTTTAATTGATTGGGATGATACTCTGTCGGCTCTACCTTCAGACCAGAGATGGTCTCCCCAAGAAACCGTTGAACTTATCTGGACAATAAGATGCTGGACTCTATGCTTTGTAGATGCTTGCAAGGAAAGAATCTCAACTGAATTTGAACTGTGGTAATGCAACAAGGTGGAAGAATCCACCATGGGAGGGGTGGGTTTCTGGGGAGGAGGGGGTATCCCAGTGCCTATAAAACTGTGTCGCATGATGCAATGTAATCAATAAAGATTTTTTTAAATCAAAATAAAAAAAGGCTGAACAGAAAATAGATATTGTATATTCACAGAGTACTGAGGTCTACCATATCCAGATGTGGGGGTATAATGCAACATGCATCCCTGCTTCCAGACAAAAGATAGATTCCCAATGAAACTGTTGGACATGTGTAGACAATGGGATACTGGACTGTCTGACATTGTCTGTACCAGCAATATAGGGGTACACTTAAATAAGAGACTGATGGAATTATGATTCCTTATGAAGGACTATACCATTGTAGCAAAATGGGGAAAATCTGTCGGGGGTGGGAGTTGGGGGGGAATCCTAGCCTATATGAAATTGTACCACATAATTCAAAAATTCAAAATAAAAATATTTTTAAAAATAAATAAATAAAATAAGTTTCTGTTGATCCTTGGGGAAAAAGAAAACAGATGTTGAGGGGCAAATGATCAAAACTGTTTCTACTTCAGGATTTTAATGAAGACTATAACATAAGTGAAATTCATGTTTCAGTATGTAATTTCCCAGAAGGATGTAAACATGTCCAGTGGTGTGCATGCATTCCCTGGACTTTTGGCCACCTGCATTCAGAGATCTAAATGGCTACTTCATTAGCTGCCTAGAAGTTGATTCATCGGCAGCTAGCCAGTGCTTCACTCCAACACCAGCAGATGGGAGACGTCACAGAAACCTGGATGCACACAGTTCCCATGTACATTCTATGCCCATCGAGAGTCTGAAAATGAACCAAGAAGAGCCACGATGCTGATTCAGGTCAGTTCCCACTTGCTTTATGGACAAGGATGGTCTATGTGATTCTCACAGGGAAAAGCTTGGTGCCCAAGGAGGGGGTAGGTTTGTGGAAGCTACAGAAAGCAGCTTCAGCTTCCATTATGGAATTCACCCAGATGCCAGCATGCGACGGAGACAGTGAGCTCTCTGAAACCCTTCTGTTTCAACTGCACAGCCCCCTGGACCTAGAAGAGTCTTGTATTCTGAAAACACATGGTTTTAACCTGGTCATCAAACTTGAAAACATCTCCTAACCTTCCTACCAAAAAGGAAAAGAGGAAACTTACCCTCCGTGGAAACGCCCTCGTTTTTGCTCTTGCTGAATCCGTATATTCTCCAACCTGAGCGGACTTGGGATGAATCCGATCTCACAGCCCTCCTTCACCAGCCTTCCTATCCACCAATCATTGTTGTATTTCTGGAATGCAGAAATATAATGGCTATCAGTAGGAATTCATTCATCGTCACATTTCATTCAGTAATCTCAGAGGACCAGGAGGATGAACCGTTGTGATATTATACTCTATAATATAAAAATGTCCCATTACAGATTCTATTATAGTAGGAGTTTCTAAAAGCTCACAGAAATACATATTATGAAAAACTATGAATGGGCCTCCAAACAAATATACATTATGGAAATGTCTATTATGAAAAAAATTATACATGGATTTTAAAATATGTTTCCAGGAAAACAAACTTACCTTTGAATTCTACTTTTCCATGACATTGAAAAGCATACTCTTAAATATACAAGTGGAACTTTAATTGATTACAGCAAGGTTCTGTGAATTTCTTCCATAAGGATCTAAGTAGTACATATTTTAGATTTTATAGGTAAGGTAGACTCTATTCCCATTTCTTGAATATGCTGTTCTAGTAGAAAAGTATTCACAGACAAAAGCAAATGAGCATAGTTGGGTTTTCACAAAATTTTTTCTTGACAGCAAAGGTGGACCAAATTTGGCTCAATGGGCTAAAGTCGGCCAATCCCGGGACTAGCCAGTCCTGACCTGTTGATTCTTTCAGTCTTTGCCCAGAAGCCCTAGCACATTCTTTTTTTTTTCAGATTTTAAATTTTCATTTATTCATTTGTTTTTAGCACAGAGCTTAATAGGCACTGGGATTTTCTGCCCCCTTCCTCAAGTTTCGTCCTCTTCCCACTGATTTCCCCTCCAGTTTTACAGTGGGTGTCTTTCATGAACATCCATAAGCCCTTGCCAATTCTTAAGGGATGGATTTAATAAGGATAAATGTTTCATCATTATAAATGGAACTCTGGAAGGTAAGACAGCTAGGCATGAGGTAAAACACACTTGTATTTTGTGGTTTGTCAAAAGCTTTAGGTAACAGTTAACTGTCTGTAGTCTACTGCCATGAAGAAAGAGCTATAATCTTTCAAATAAAGAGAAAAAACCCCTACTCTTGAAAAGTTTGAGTGTAATACACACTTAGATGTGGAAATTTAGAAATAATCTCTAAATGGCTTGAAGTCTAAGAGAAACTCTAGGATTTCCATTTAAATAAACACTATAGGACAAGCATTTAGACTGGCAGTTTAGATGCCTGCCCCTATACTAGAGTACCTAGACTTGATGCCTGGCTGTAGCTTCTGACTCCAGCTTCCTGCTAATGCAGCCCGTGGGAGGCAGCAGTGATAGCTGCATCCCTGTGGGAGGTAAGGCTAGAGTTCCTATTTCCTGAAATCTACCAATAGAGTTTTAGCCTGGCCCTGGCTATTCAGTGCATTTGTAAGGCCAATCAGTAAGTAGATGGGAGTGCTTTCTCTGTTTCTCTTTTTCTGTTTCTTTCTTTGCCATATAAATAAAGTTCCATGACATGTAAACTTGGGACACAGGTCCACATAAAGACTTCAACCAACGTAGGGTAAGATTCTGTCAACCTGGCCCTATTTCACAGGTCAGCAAAAATGGATTTGTAATTGTAGGTTTACTGACTCCCGGGGCAGAAAGTAATTTAGTCCAAACCACCTGCCTTAAGGGAAGGTTTCAGCAGGGTCATTTCTAGAAAAACAGATTCCTATCATTAACACCTTTCAGGGATGATTCCAAAAAACTTCCTTTACTCCAATAACTTCCTTTGTCATCTTTACAATGTTGGATATGATTGACTATCTCTTTGATCATACATATATACATATTGTTTCAAAATATAACAACATATAATATGTCTTGCTTAGCTCAGAGAAAAGTGGAACCCTACCTCCCTCTGTATCTGTACATCTCTGAAGGATAATGACATGTGGTAAAGGAGGAATGTTACTCAGCATAAAACTCTGAGTAATAGCCTCACACTCAGAAACAGGGATTGGGTCTTTATTTGCACACAACTCCTACACAAGGTATGTAAAGTATGTAGTATTAGGCTACATTGAAAGAAATGCTGAATTAACCTGAGATAAAATCTTGAACAATACAGATCACAGATTTCCCCATCTTCCTGCCTTTACCTTTTACTTAGGATAAGATGCTGGAAATAATAAGCTTGTTTATTTTGAGTTAACAAAAGGCAAGGGAACCCTTTTAGAATCTTTGCTGTATAGGTCTGGAATTTAAATTCTACTGTGGTGGGGGAATAAACAGTCTATGAGTCACAGTTTCTAGGGCTTAACTTGAAATTAAGTTGGCACATTGGAGTACTAATTTGTTAAATGGTACCCAAGTGGCCTTAAAGGGCTTCGTAAAATGGTTAACACAACTTTCTCAAGTGGTTCAACTTAGTTCTAGGAAACAGTTAAAGAACAGAAGATGCTGACTCAATGGAAATGAAAGTCCTTGGAGCTACTTAGAAGAAAGTCACTATGTAAATTAAAGAGCTTAATTTGCTTATCATTTTCGTTTTTGGGACAAGTACAGAGGTTGACTTTCTCTGCATTTAAAGCTTTTCACTACTGAGAAAGTATTTTACACGATGCCTACAAGATGGTCTCCTAGGCAATGGATTAGTGAAAAGGCTGCACCTGATTATAGAAATGGGTTCATTTGTGTTCATGTTCCAGGAGCCTATGCCCACTTTCTGCAAATGTCACCTTAGCGTCGCTCCAATCCTCAGTTTGAGTTTCCTAAAAGGATGAGGACCTTATAAGATACTTTTCATTTGGTCTTTTAAGACTGGAAAATGTGCAGCTGTGGCCCACATAGGGTTTCTAGATAATGTCATAGCTCAAACTACCAAAGTTATCAGTGAAGAACAAATTGAGAATACTAATAGGTGCAGGAAGGTAGCAAAACCAGCCCAATGGTTGTGAGAGTGAGTGTGCTTGTGACATACGAGAACTGACAGCTGCTTCTCTTCGGAAACAATGGGTGTCAGCAGCCAAGGAGGCTGGCCTAGTCATTTTTGACAGGAATGGCATGACAGACTCAACACTTCAGATGCTGGGGCACATGTTTTAGGTCAAGGGTCCTTGTCTTCCAGGAACATCCTCACTTCACCCACCATCAAGATTAGAAGCTTCAAGTTGCTGCTGCCTCAATTCCTCATTACCAAGGCTCTGGGCTGTCTGTGTCAGTACTTGTCATTTCCCTGCATGTGGCAATGATAAATGACCTGTATCGAAGGCCTGTCCCTCCTTGCACACTTTTGTCTGCTCAAATGTTCCCTTTTCCCACCAATCGCTCTTCTCTGTTACTATCAGCATGCACAGGTGCTCCAAGAGCTTCCACCTTACATAAAGTCTTTTTGTAACTTCCTACCCTTCCTTGTCCATGGTACAGTCAACGTCAATCTCCTTGAAACCTCCAACCCACAACCAAGTACACTTTAAAACAAAAAGAAAAAATAATGTTAATTGCAATCAATGTTAATTACAATCTAGATCTCAAATTTCACTGCATTGTTCCCTCTTCATGTTTTCCTTTTAATTTATATTTCTAATCTTTTTCTCCTAGTACAGCAAATGGAGACCAACCAGTGTGACTTGTCACCCAGGTTCTCAATTCTGCAGAGAACAAGGTGGTTCAATAAAGTAATGCTTTCTTTGGCTTCAGCCTGATTCTTGGGCCTGTTCTCCATCTTTGTCTGCCTTTCCCTCTCTCCTCCAGTCCCTTACTGTACTATTAGCTGTCCTTTTGCATCCTCCTATATTTTACCAGGTCTAGCATAGAAAATATCACTAAGTCTTCCTCCTCCTAAAAAGAAAAAAAAAAAACATAAACTGAATCTCAAAAGCACTCACTCAGTTCTGTGCTATCTCAGGTCCATGCTATTTCCCCTGGTTACAACCTATCCTCTTCAAACCACAGCGTTCATGAAGAACAAATTGTAGCTGCTCTCTACTGGCCTCCAGATTATGTGGCTAAGAGCCTTTCCAACACTTTCATAGAGAATTTCACAGCACCCAAGACACAGTGTCCTGGGGAGCAAATTCATAACCACATCCACCCCTGTACCAAATCTGTCCTGCTCTTGACTGTCTCTGTTTTTAGAGAGGACAATATCCTCTACCTTTCCAAGCAAAACAAAGACACTGGCCTCTACCCTATGTTTTCCCGCCCTCCCACCCCCACTTTCCCCTCCCCACCCAGGTGAAATCTCTGGATCCTGTCCATTTGTCCCTTACCTCTATCTCCAAGTTGGCCCCTCTATTCTCTGTTGCAGCCACTGTCTTATCTCTAGGGTGTGTTCCCCCACCTGCGCAATGCTCATCAGAGCTATCATTCTAGGACACAAGTTTGGTCACATTCATATCATGGATCTCAAGTTCCTCTGCAAACCACTGCCTGGTGTGCAAGTCAGGCATATTTACGTGGCCCAAGCAGTCCCAGCGTCTCTGTCGTAGCCCCTGTATCACTTCTTCCACTATCCTGCAGCCATGGTGCCTGACTTGCAGCTGTTCCTTCCACTTGGTGCCACCCTCATTCCCAACCCTCGCCTAGCTCCCTCAGCTTTTGCCACTTCTGCAGCTCTTCTTAGCTTCCCCATTCCCTCCTCCCCACCCTGGTGGCCCCCTCCCTCTTTCTTTGGACACCCCTAATACCAATTCAGTCTTTCTGTAATGGATCTTGTCTTCTGTGAGGATACTGCACACTTGTCCATCTCTCCCACCAGACTTGGTTTTTCCTGCCTGTGATCCTAGCATTGGATCCTCCATTGCCAAACAAAAGGTCTGATATAAAGCAGAATTTCATGCCTCCTAGGTTGAGAACAACAACACTTCTGATGACTTGCAGTGGCAAGTCTACCTTTCAAGATACACAGCCTCAAGTCCTCCTTTAATTGTTTCAATTTTTATGCTTTGTTTTCCAGAATCCTCAGTCCTCTCCATAGCTTTAATACTTTGAGTTAATTATTCAACATGCTAGTGTTGGTTCTGAGGTCCCAGGGTCATGGGACCACAGTCTGAGGTCTAATAACTACAGCATCTGTCAGGCTCCCAACTTGGGTTCCCTAAGCTGGATCTATGGTTGTATTACTGTATAGCAACTGTAGGTGATTATAAGGGGACCATAGGGCCACAGGTCTGGTCTAAATATACTCTAGGATTTCAAATGTTGACTGTGATCCACTGTTGTGAGTGACAGGACAAGCAAGGATATGAGCCTTCCTAATCTCAGTGAGGACTGGGCTTTTGGCACCATGATGAAGATGCTACTTGGGACAGCCATATCTCACAATGAAATCCCTTCCCCTTGAAAGGCAGCAAGTGATAACTGAAGTACCCAGGTCCTAATCATTCACATAGGAGACTCCAGTTTAGTCTTTGTGCACCTGGATTTGGCCTAGCCCTGCCCAAGCTGTTTTGGGATTGTGGGAGAGAATCAGCAAATGGAAGAACATTCTTTCTCTGTGTGTGTCTTTATGCCTTTTCAAATTAATTAATTTATTAACTAAAAGTAGCTCTTATTAAAAAGTCAGCTGAAAACCTCCCTGAGAATCAATGGCTGCCAATGGCCTGGGAATTTAAATGAGACTGCACTGGCAGCTCCACAGGGCTCCCCTTGGCCAGCTTTGCTCAGAGCTATCTCCTGGCTCCAGTCATTTCACAGGTCAAGGGATGCAGTGTGTTGCACGCTTCCAGTTACCTCTTTAATATGGAGAAAGTCCTTGGCATCAAAAGAAATGGCAGTGCTTGGAACAGGCACATCCTCGTCCAGGGCGCCGCAATAGCTCACATTCGTCTTCACAGCAAATGCCACAGGCTTGGACTGGGGTCAGGGCCATGGCACAAGGACAAGAGAGGGAGGAAGAGAGAGGAGCATTTTTCAGACAAAGAAGGAAATAGAGGGGACTGACAGCAGCAAGCACCAAGGACAATTACTTTCAAAGAGTGAGTGCTAGTGGGTTGCATATTCCCAAACAGTATTAACAGACTGGTAGAGAGGACTCTGAAAATGATTCAGTCCCACTGGCATGGCCATTTTTGTCTGTATTGTAGCACTTTCCAGCATTCCAAATACAGATCTGCATCTCAAAGTGTGGGAAAAACAAGTGAGATGGCAACGAGACAGTTGGCACTTTGCTATCTAGTCAGAAGTGTCATTTCACAGGGAATCCTGCTTTGGGATACAGGAAATACATACTCAGGTTTGGAGAATGGTAAAAGGCAGGTGGTATGGTAACTATTTCTGAATTAACTTTAGATCCAAAAGTCCTCGGGATCCCACATAGTGGCATACATGGTCCCTCCAGGGAAACCACGCACAGTTAGGGCTCAGCCAGATGGGGCAGGAGCTCTACACACATCATTGCCTCCCTAGCTCACAAAAGGTTTATTCTGAAACTCTTTTCATACAAAATGATCTGCAACTGGTGCCCGCGCAGACCAAGGAGCCAGCATGGACAGACAGCTGAGCAGCCCCCATGGCCATAGGACAGATTTGGAAGAAAATGTTAAAACAAAAAGCAGCTACATGTGAGAAGATCCAGATTTCTGCAACTCTGGGTTGTGCTGTTTCTGGCTCATGTTTTTGTGCTGGGAGCTGGGGCAGGGAGCAACAGGGGAGAAAATACTGAGTCAGAATCTCATGAATGCCGTTCTTGGGCATTGCCAAAAATGAGCCTTCTGCCAACAAGACAGAGATGCAACAGGTATCCACGCTAAGACAGATAGGATAATGGTGGCAGGTAGGCAAGCTATCTCCCATGTTACAAAGATTTCATTATTAAAATAGAAAGGAGGAGGAAGTCATTTTATTTGGGCTTTGATTTTCCCTCCAAAAGAAAGGCTGCACCAGTTTGCCTAAGGAGGCTGCCTTGGAGGGCAAGGACATGAAGCTGGCCATGACCCCTGTCTAATATGCTGTTGTTCATAAAAATGTCATTTGACAAAAATCTGTCTATACCAAAAAAGAATTTTTTTAATACTGGGAAGACAGAATGAAAGAACTCCAGGGAATCTTCCGGTTCTGTCATTCATCTACTCCTGTGGGCAGGTGAAGACGTTCCCTTGGGGGCCTCTCCTTGTGCAGCTTTCTAAAGGTCTCCTTGGGCAATGACTTTGTTACTCATCTTTGCTGCACTTGTCAAAATGGTTCACACTGTTGAACTTCATCCTGAGCTTGAAATAGGGGAGTGAAACCAAGAGACAAGAGTGAAGAAAGCAACAAGCAGAGACACAGAGCAAGAGCACAGCTCCAGCCCGTGGTAAAAGTGATGAAATGGGCAAGGAGAGTCAAGAGCAGGTGTACCCAGCTGGTGCCCAGGGAGGCTCAGTGCCAGCACTGGGCATGACAAGGCTGACACTGACCACACAGGTAAGTCGGGAGATGCCCAAATGATACACCTTCAAATGAAACACGAAAGGTGAAAGTTGTTGGGAAGCAAGCCCCTGAGGGTTTTGGTGACTTCTCTAAGGGTGAATTAGGATGACTGTGTTTGGGGGAGTGACACACACATCATTTCTGACGGAGCAGGGGGTGGGATGGGGAAGGACAGTCACCTTTGCTCTCTCAAGCTGGATAGCTGCTTGCTGCTCTCTCTCCTGCCGAATCGCTTCCCGGTCCTCTTCCAAAGAGACATCGGAGTCAGACGGCCTGCTAGTGTAGGAATCCGCTGAACCCTGGGAAGGGAGACAGGACGCTTGTGGTGAGCTGACGTGCAGCAACTCAAATTGGCACATCCATAACAGTATCCTGGGGTGAGTTCCTTCCATTTGCATAGGAATCGACACACACATACACACACACACACTCTGTGCTTACTGCAGATGTAAATTTAGATGGCAGAATCTAGTTAACCATCTGAATTACTCAGAAGGTAGTAAGGTTGTAAAGGAAAATATTATGACTAGATTAAGTGCTAGGAAGTAGAGTGCTATAAAAATTATGTGATGCTCAGCCCAGATTCTTTTTGTTTTAATGCTATCTCTACATTAAGCCTATATTCATTTGTGGAAAGGAAATTTTCTTCCATTCTCTTTGTACACTTGTAAGTACAGCTAAAAGACTAAATCTACAAGATTCAGTCCATCGCAAGAGCTGGATTTGACACATTGGGTTCCAGTTTGTTAGCTTGCCTGAGATTTCAACTCACAGAGCAGCATTCCACCTGGATACAACGATTTTCCAATTTTAATGTCAATACCCTTTCACACTTGTATTATTAAATCTCTAATCACTAGTCTTTAGTGGCCCATACATGTTTCATATGGGCACTGAGCAGAGAAACAATGTCAAGAATACAAACACTACTGTCCTCCATTGAAGTCCACACATAGGCTACTTGAGCAACACTGGAATCCAGCTGGATGAGAGGTGGCCAGGGTCACATGGTGCTCAACCACAAGGAGATAAGAAAACAACAGCAGCTAGTTAAAAAGGTAATCTCCATCAACCTGCAGGTTTACCTCCTGACTGCTAAAGGAATATCATCTTGAAAATTTCCTTAAGCTAGCACTAGAAGTCGACATTTGCAGAGATGATAACATGTACACAGCAGAGATATACTTTGCATGTTTCAGTAACCAGGTCAATTAAAAAAAAGACACATTCATACAGCTAAGAATTTGTTATCCATAGCAAAAGAGAACTTAGAGAAATGCGCTGCATGTTGAGACTGCCAATTTGAGAGTTTTTCCACACTTAGAGATGTCTATTTATGAATTCTCTGCCTGTAAGGTCAACTGCATCCCTCAGTAGAGAGTATCACCTAGCTAGGCTAGTATTTTCCAAAAAATCCCAGCATGGATTTTCCTGGCAGCCTAGAAAAGTAATTTCCCGTTAGAAGTTTTTGTCATAATATCTATTGGGCTCCGTGTTTTCAATTCTGCCACTGTAACACAGAAAACCATGCAAGCTACTGGATGACTCTGGAAGAGATCCCTTATCTGGGATGAGGGACACTCGCTAACTTTGTAGGGTTAACTGGAATAGGTTAGCATGAGCAGCTAAAGCCTGTTGGCTGACTGCTATCGCACAGGCACAGTGCTAGACGCCTTGCACACCTCATCTCACGGCATCTTTGCGGAGGGGAAACAGACTCACATTTGGTTTGAGCTAGCATGTTCAAACCCTACACTGTAGCACACTTGATATTAAAATACTCCAGGACCTGGCATCAAATGGGCACATAATACACCATCTTTCTTATCCTAATTCCAAGTGCTGACATTTCTACTTTGATTATAAAAATGAACAGCAAAAATAAAAATAAACAAATTGGGATTCTGATCATTCTCAACTCACTCCTATTTGCACAATACTTTATCTTGATGTACAGTCACATTTCCTACCATAATACCTGCACAGAAGGCACAGTAGAAATCTGATCATTGCAAAGGGTTCAAATCCTTACACTTTACATAGTGCTTTTGAAAAGGCTTTTTACAAAAAAATAAATAAAATAATAAAAAAAAAAGAAAAAAAGGCTCTTTACAAAGTGCATTTGCAAATTTGTAAGTGCACTGTTCATTAAATGTCACTGCAAATTTACTAGAGCAAGAAAATTTGGGCCTACAAAACAATAAATATAGGGTAACTCTTTTCTTTTTTTAAAAAAAGATTTATTTTATTTTTATTGGAAAGGCAGATATACAGAGAGGAGGAGAGACAGAGAGGAAGAACTTGCATCCTCTTCTGGGCCTCCAAAGTGGGTGCAGGGTCCCAAAGGCTTTGGGCCGTCCTTGGCTGCTTTCCCGGGCCACAGGCAGGGAGCTGGATGGGAAGCGGGGCTGCCGGGAGTAGAACCGGCGCCCATATGGGATCCCAGGCGTACAAGGGGGCGTACAAGGCAAAGACCTTAACCACTGCACCATCACGCCGGGCCCATGTGTAACTCTTTACATAGAGATCTCTATTGCCTAAAAAGAGAGGCACACTGGGGGGTCCAGTGCAGTTGCCTATTGGCAAAAGTCCTCATTTTGCATGCTTGGGATCCTGTATGGGCACTGGTTTGTATCTTGGTGGCTCCACTTTCCATCCAGTTGCCTGCTTGTAGCCTTGGAAAAGCAGTTGAGGGTGACCCAAAGTCTTGGGACCCTGCACCTGCATGGGAGACGTGGAAGAGGCTCCGGGCTCCTGGCTTCGGATCAAAGCAGCTCCAGCTGTTGTGGCCACTTGTGGAATGAATCAACGGACGGAAGACCTTCCTCCCTGTCTCTCCTCCTCTCTGTATATCTGACTTTACAATAAACAAATAAACTTAATCTAAGGAAAAAAAAAAAAAAGAGGCACATTGGGCCCAGCATGATAACCTAGTGGCTGAAGTCCTCGCCTTTCATGTGCCGGGATTACACATGCGAGTCAGTTTATGTCCTGGCAGCCCTGCCTCCCATCCAGCTCCCCACCTGTACCTAAAAAAGCAGTAGAGGATGGACTAAAGCCTTAGGACCCTGTACCCGGGTGGGAGACCTGGAAGAAACTCCTGGCTCCTGGCTTTGGGTTGGCTTAGCTCTGGCTATTGCAGCCACTTGGGAATGAATCTGTGGATGGAAGATCTTCCTTTCTGTCTTTCCTCACTGTATATCTGACTTTCCAATAAAAAAAGAAAGGCACATTGATACACTTTAATATGGTTCTCTTGGAATACACTTTTTGTCTGAAGGTAGGGCTACTGGCCTAACATTTGGAGTAAGAGCGAAAGAAAACAGTATTTCCAAAGTATCACTGAAAGCAGTAGGGAGTGAATCCTTGGCACAGCAATGCTGGAAGTGTGACTGTGTGCAGTGGACAATGTTAAGGTGTTGGGCTGGCTGCCTGGAGGGCATCTGGACCACAAGGTGAGTATGATTCAGAAGTTCTGCAAGTGGCCTGCACCTTGTTTTGAAGCCACATGCTTGAGAAGACCAATGACTGACAGTTCACAGGAAGGCAGGCTGTTCCTGGGAGCCATGAGTCATCCAGCTGGAAACTCAATCTATCCTGACCACCAGGAGATGGCCAATTTCCTAAATTACCTAAATGATTTTCCAAGCCTTAGCATTTCAATCCTCTCTGAGCATACAGGAGTGACTCAAGGGCTCCCATGAATGAACTTTATTTTGAAATGACAGTAAGATTGCAAAAATCCCAAAATTACTTACTATGCTCCTCTGCTGCCAGGTATTTAGAAGCAGAGGTTTTGGGGTAGTTCCCTGTTTCTGAGAATTCTAGTGAAGGGGAAAACAAGGTACAGAGGCACCCGTTTCACAGTCAGCACTACACTCATGTCACCATACCCTTTGCTTTGCGCTTTACTCCTCTGGTGTAACCTACACTTCTTGGACTTGGAAAATCACTGTGGTTACCTCTCCACATCCTAGGGACAACAGAGATCTGAGATCAAGAGTCCAAATTTGGCTCATGGCTATGTTCTGCCAACTTGATGCTGAATGACTGGGTATCTTCTTTTTATTTATCTTTACTTTGTTCTGTTTTATATTAAATGATCAAGAGAAAGTTCAGGCATGTTCCAAGAAAACAAGAAGTAAAGAAGAGGCCCTAGACCATCTGTAAAGACACAGAAGGAAGAACAGGCAGTCACATAGAGGCCAAGAGGGGACTGCAGGGACACAACTGAAGGGGAATTGGGAAAGGGTATACAGCAGGCTGGGTAAGGCAGGTGGGTAAGAGGGGTTTACCAGCAGAGAGCCAGTGAAATATCTAAAGATCAAGGAGAGAAATGGCTAGAAGGAGGTAATAGTGTGTGTCAACAGAACAAACTGAGGATATAAGGGTTTCAGCCCTGGCCAAAGCCAGGGATTGCTGCCCCATTAGCCTGTGTCTTACTAGAACTCCATTTCAGAAGTAGGTCAAGAGCAAGACGATCCAGTTTATCCAGTCATTTAAAACTGGACTGCTCCCCACACTCAGGTATCATGGCAATGCCTCATCACCTCACCTCAGAAGGTTTTTTTTTTTGTAGTATACTCTATTTATTCATTTCCTTATTTATTTATTCATCTGCAAGGCAGAATGACAGAGAGAGAGAATAAGAGACACAAAAAGAGAAATCTTCCATCCGGTACACATTCTGAATGCCTGAAATAGCTAGGGCTGAGTCAGGAGAAAGAAACTCCATCTGCCTCCCATGTAGGTGGCAGGGGTTCTTTCATTCATGTTGCCCCTGTAGGTGGCAGGGGATCGAGCACTGTGCCTTCTTTTGCTGTCCCTTAGTTGCAGTATCATGAGCTGGATCACAAAGATGACAGTTGATCCCAGGTATTCCCATATGGGATGCAGGTGTTTGTTAGTGGCAGCTCAACCTGCTGCACAATGCCACTTTCCCCCCAAACTTCTTAAGCAATCACCATTGTAAGCTACAATGAATTAACTAAGCCAATTACAGACTTGGACTCGCCAAGGAGCATATGCAAAGTACTTTAGAAAGTTTCCAGAAGATGGAATGAAGGTACGTGTTTATTTTGGTGCAAATAACATTTGAAATCCATGCAGAGGTTTTTTACAATATACATTTTTCCATGCATGGAGGAAAAAAAATCTGTACCAAAATCAACATACTTTCAATTCCATTTTTCTTTTCCAATGTATTTATTTTTCAATTTTAAAAATTTTTAATTGCTAAAAATTTCAATATATGATATAGCTCAATTCCATCTTATAATGAATTTTTTACCATTCCTTC